TCTGTGGTGATTTTGGTCAAGGGCATGAATTGGACCCCTTATCCTTGTCTTTTTCCATTACTCCCCCCCCCCCCCCCCAGCACCTCTTAAAGAAATTCTGCATAATTATGGCCTTTAATTCCCCATACCTTCAAGGTTTCATGGTACTTTATTACTGATGGTTTCTGTGGACCACAGCTTGGATAATGTGTTTAAAAATGTCACAGGATCAGTGATTATGGTTAATAATGCTAACCACAATGGGATGACCACAAAGTAACATTTCACAGCTAAGAAAACTGGGTTTTAATACACTGGGAGAGGTCAACCATCAAAGTACCTCACTGATAAAAGTTTCTGAACTACAACTTTCTGCGTAAGCAGTATTCATCATTTTTTTTTTTTTTTGATTTCTTTTCTTAGTTAGGTGATTAATTCAGTTTTAAGAAGGTGTAGACCCAGTGGAGCAGTAAAGAGGAGTGTGTCGTAATCCAGCTAATTTTAAGTTTAAGAAGAGGCAGTCGTAAAAGATATGGAGTACCCACCCTGAGCCATCCTCGCCTTTGATAGAACATGTATAAGTCTGTATAGAGTACCTGAAAACCTTATGATATATGGCTCATGCTATTCATTGCTTGCTATACTTGTTGCCCTCAGATATATGTTACACATCAAATGGTTGATGCCTATCAGATATTGCTTTAATGAAGTGTGTATTCTCTTTCATTAAACATCTTTATATCTACAAAGAATTTCACCTGCCTGATTAACCAGTGTACAGTGTAGATCTAAAGGTGCTGCTAGCGAGCTTTTAATATAGCCATAAATAGAAGTGATTCATTGAAAATCAATTCCGTTTATTTGGTACATAAGTTTGGCCTTGTGTGAAATCTGGGCCCCCTGATATCTCTTTGTCACTGATAGGCCTATAAGGAATTAGAATTATTGTCCTCAGAGGTAGCAACAACTGATCTTATTATTTACATTTTTATAGAAAAGGATTGCAGATGAAATTAAAGACCCTTATCAAAATACCTATGCACTTTTAGGCTAAAGTATAAACTTAAATCTACCGGTACATGCAAGCACATAATTTTTAAGTGAAAATGTTTAAATTTTCATGTGGGGTCCAATGCAATGACAAATGTATTTAAAGTGCCATGAATGAATAATTCTTAGATGTAAATCCATTTCTTTCCAAGGATAAGGTAAACAATAAAAAAAAAGGATGACCTCTTTTCTCGTGAACCATCCCAGTAAATGAATAATATGCATCCTGATAAAACGCACTGGCTCACTTCTTCAGAGGGAGCACACCCCCATGTTTTGAAGTTTGGAATGAGTCCTTGAAAACATGAAAAGGGGTCAATGTATGTAACAAATGTGATATGTGATTTATAGTCAATGGGATGTTAGAAAGTGCAGATAATTAGATGACGGTGTTTTACTCTCTAGGATTGTGTTTTTGATGCAACAGGGTGCATTTCTGCACAGAATATATAAGTGCATTTATACTGATATCACGAGAAAGATTACTGATACTCTGTGTCACACATAAGCTACCATTACTGTCTATGGATGCTATATTTATGTATTTTCTTCTCTGTTTAATTAGGTTTTTTTTTCTTTGAGTAGGAAGGTTGCATAAGGTAACGATGATCAGGAGAAATTGATTACACTTGTCACCAAAGGTTATAAATTACTGGATGAGCTCCCACTCGTTTCTTCAGACAATTTCCTTGAACACTTTTTTACGGCAGTATGTTTTTTATTGGCCCAATTTCTAGATTAATGTATATTGGGGATTTTGCAAGATATGTTGGTTAATTCTCTTTTTTTGTCTTTCTGTCAATAAAATTTATAGATTACTGTTACTTTGAATCTTCTCAAGCAAAGGAAACTGCGTAAATATTTCTATGATTTTATACCCAGTACATGTATGTGCTAAAACAAACACAATGTATGATTAAATAATTCCTTGCATTTAATTTTGAGTTTTCTACTAAGGGTCATGATATTGAGGGATAGTATCAAATTGTCTATAAAATTCACTACATGATTAAGTTGTTGAGTAATATTATGAGAGTTTAAGAAAGAGCTGGGTGGAATTTGGTTTATAAACAGAGTTAAAAGGACTCTATGGATCAAAATTATAAACTAGTGTTACATTAACCAGGTACAATAAAACATTCCTCTCATTCTCAGAATGCTTGTGGCTTGTTAAAGTTCAAGGCAAGATTTGCCAACAATTCACTGCAGTGGACCTTGAGCTTGGAGAAGGCATGAATGAAAATTAGGTAGCCCAAGCGTAATCTGTAAAGGTGACGTTGTGCCTTGATACAGTGTGCAATATCTTCCAGGTGTGTCATTTTACTAAAGCGAGTGTTTGTATGCTACTACAAACACTGATAAAATGTGAAAACCTGAGACCGATTTAAATTCGGTTAATGGGTGCAGATCAACTCAGCCTAAGAAAAATAAAAACGGTTTGGATTAGGAGCCACCGCTTTTAAATATAGATAAAATTTAGGAGCTGAGTCAATTTTGGTTTACCACAAAATTATATACACTTTTTTCACCTCTTTTTTCTAAAGATTGGAGTAGATGAAGTGTTTGGGCTGTTTGATGTACGGATTACCTTTTAATGATGAATATTTATGTTTATGTAAATTTTTTATTCTTGTTGAAGAAAGTTTTATTTGATGCAAATAAGTCTTAGAGGAAGTGCTAGGCACTTGATGGTTTATTAAGCTGATCTACTTTTGATATTAAATCATTCATAGATGTTTATCGTCTGTTAACCAATATGGTGTACATTTTCAAAACCTTGGATTATTATTTAAGTATTATAATGTCTTAGACAAGAATGTGGTTGTGTGAGATAACAAGATGTGTTTGCCAGGTGGTTGACCTAATTTTATCAAGTATATTATCTGTGCATTAATTTACTGCAAATGTATTAATTAAATCACTTTCATTGCAAAATGAGTTTTTAAATAAATACCTACATTTATGCTGTAGAAATTCTGATTTTGATGTTTATAAGCTTTGAGCATCTTCTATCCAGAATGCTTAAAGAAGATTTTTTTGAGGAGACATATAAAGCATTAAAAAATGTCAAGGTCATTTGCCTGCATTTTGCATTTATAAAAATCTTTATTTTAAAAATAAGGATATATATTTGCTAAAAAGAAATTGAGTCACATTGCTACATCAGGATCAATGTACATCAACTCTGACATTAGTAAAATTCTCTAGGACACTCCAACAGTATTAGATGAGGTTTCATGTATACCCAAGTGAGAATAGCAAGATTTACTCATTGTTCATCACTATGATGTCATAATGTTTATCTCAGCTATAGTGCTAATTCATCTTGAATATTGTAGCATACTTCTGATATACATGTAGAGGAGTGCAAGGGTTTTTTATGTGATTTTCTGAAAACTGCTTGTTTGTGGCCTTTACCTCCTTATAACTTTAAAATTTCAAGTCTTTAATACACTACATGTAGCAGTGTTAACAATTGTATGGGAATTTCTTGTTTAACTGCATGGATTGAAATTTAAAGTAAGATATCAAATTGTAATATTTTTGGCTTTCTTGTTGCATAATTGTGATTGATTTTAAAAAAGAAAGGAGGAGAAAAAACCTGCATGTATACAAAGAGGTTCTTGTGATCCCTTTATGGGTGGATAACAGACTATAAGGAGTAGGGGTGCAATGATACACTAACCTCACGATATGATACATGTCACGGTATTCAGTTCACGATACGATACGTATCACGATACATGACAAGGTTAAACAGTCTTTCAAGTTTGTCATCATATATTTTTTTAAAACTTGACAGGGTTATACAAAATGTTCATATTTTTTTTTAAAAATAATTAAAATAACATATTGTTAACTTGAATTGGATTGTTAGGTAGATTTTTGAGTTGTGACAACATTCTAAACCAATGATGAACATTTACAGGGAACTACTCGGACCTTTCCTAATAATCTTCCTTTTAAATTGGAATGAAAAAGGAAAACATTCATTCTTTTATTCCTTTTATTTACGTAGAAAACCAGTTGTCATATTTCTCGTTATAATACGTTTTAGTCAACAAGACAGCGAATTCTCATCGAAATACACATGTGATGAAATATCATGTATTACCAAAGAATATGTTTAGATCTAAAGGGTTTATCATTTGTCTTAACATCTATAACTTATAATCACATAAAGTCCTTCTCCATGTTAAATCTGAGGTCTGTAAGATGCTGGAGATGAGTTTAACTGCCGTAAATGCGTTATCGGCGACCTCACGTTTTGCGAGGAAGCCATTTTGAAATAGTAAAGAAGGAAATAAAATGCACAAAACGGATAATTCTGGACCGATTGAACTGAACCGCGATATCAGTTTAACGTATCGTGAATTGAACCGTGGAAAAATATACCGTGATATACCGTTAAACGGTTTATCGTTGCACCCTTGATAAGGAGCAGTTAGTCCTCTCTACCAAAATATTGAAATCCATGTCTCAGGACCGAGGGTTAAATGACCCAGGGTGGGTTAAAGTTTGTCAATATGTTGTACAAGCATGACACCTTTAAAAATCTTCTTTATTTATGAACAGAAGTAGCTGGCAAACATACTGTACACAATTATAATGAGTTATTTTATTGCATAAATAGTATATAAATGGTTTGAACACAAGCTCTAACAACTTACGAGGTTCTGTAATGAGTACGTTGTTCCAGCACTCTCACAAAATTGCCCACCTGTCTCAGGCCCGGGGGTTGGGATAAATTACTCTTATATTGGGAATTTATTATGCAAAGTACTTTTGAAAAAAAAAAAAATCCTTATTCCTGTACAGTTAGCAAGCAAACTATGCATGATGACAAAAGGAGTCATTTACCATTTTGTCAAATTTGCTTGAATCCCTACAATGTAGATCCCAGGGTGGGGCTAAGGTGATGGATAATTTCAAATTCAATATCTTTAAAAATCATATTTCCTCCTGAGCAGCTAGAAGACAAGCTCCATACAGTGTGATAAAGAACAACCAAGTCTTCACCAAATTGTGAAGTTCATGGCACTGAGTACTCCAGAGTTCCAATTCAAGGTGGGGCACTGACTTGCATGGTCATTAGCCTGAGAAAACTCAAGATACTCAAGTGACTGTCAATTAAGGTCCATGTGCATCTTGATAACTACATATTGATCAGCAGATGTGTAAAACAGATGTCAATATGTACATTTGAAAGAGCCGTAAAGATGGGGTGTGCACTCCATTTGTGATTTAATATTCAAGGATCACAACCAATGATTAAAAGAGAATTTGTACCTTTCATGGCTGATGGAATAAATTAACTTAATGTTGATAATCAGAAGCTTAATAAGTGTAAGGATCAAATACTGTATGCTTGATTAATTTCACAGCGTACCTTAATTAGCAAAAAAAAAACACGAGAGTACACCGTTATTAAAACTGTGTCAGTTTACAAGTACAATGTACAGTGCATATACATTTTTGAGAAAAAGAGAGATACATATACTGTCAACTAAAAAGTTTCACATTATTGCAATTCAGATTGTATTTTTTTGGTCATTATTATATTAATATTTCATATTTTCCCACAACAGTTAGACATAATATGATTTGTGGTAGTATCAAACAAGAGATTTCAATAAACTTACCAAAAATTAGTAGGAAATATCAAAATCATTTTAGTTATAATAAGTTTTTCTGGTACAAGGACTAAAATATCATATAATGTTAATGAACCTTTCATTTTAAAGCATTTTTTTTAATATGATGCAGCATGTAGAATGAAATACCAAATTTGAGATTAGAATGAACTTGTCACATTTGTAGAGGAATATTAACTTGATAGCTTTATAATGCATGAGAGGTAGGTATAGGGTCGGGGTGTGTACATAAATGTCAGATATATCACATGTACACTGTACAGCCAAACACCATTTTCCCAAAGACCATATATTATCTTCATGGCAAGAAGATTTTGTGTTTAGTTGTATAATTAAGATTTTTCGGATGTATCAGAGTTGTCAAAAACTGTCAGTCAGCCCTGTCAGCAGGGGACCAAATAAGTCATTGCCTGGGTGGATTATTTCTTTGAATTTTCAGTCATTAGTTGAGCGATAAAAAAATTTCAGGTGTAAACAAAAATCAAAAGGGAGGGTTTATAAAATGTCACAATCTTTGAAACAGAGTATGAACTTGAACTAGGAAAGGTCACATCATACAGTGCCTTGCAGTGTGCTTATACATTTGAATTGTCTTAACCTTTTGACCTTGATCTTTAAAAAGGGGCCACAAAATCTGTTGGTCATGTGGTGAATATGGAGTCTGTGTGTTGAACTAGATATTTTGTGGTGCCACACAAAAGAATGTTTCTGGGAAAATTAATTGGAAAATTAAAATTAATTTTGACCTTTGACTAAATGATCTCAAAATCAAAGTAAATGTTTGTCTCTAACAGATTTGTTACTCTGTGAAGACATTTAGTTTCATAAAAAAAAAAACTAGACACCTGAGTTATTGCCAACTGTAAATGTAATGGCCATATCAACAGTCTTGATACCTTGTCTTGTACATCTTGTTCAAGTACCATACATGAGACCAAAATTAACACTGGTCCTTGATAGCTAATTGCCTTCTTAAAAACATTCTTTGTATATTAAGTAGAAAGACTATAGCTTAAGAAAAAATACTTGTTTTTGAATCAAAGTGGCCATAAAGATAATGTTGACATTTGACTAAATGAACCCAGATCTGTAGGCAATCTTTCCTTCTTTCTTAACCATTCTCCACATTATATGAAAATAACTTCTATAAGTTAAACAAACTGTCCTATAGTCATTCCATTACAATTATCTTATAATATATGATAAAATCATACTCTGGGTTTTTGACCATCAGCTTTGAGCAACTGTTTCAAAAAACTATAGGTGTTATCTCATTATTTAACTTCTTTACAGTATGAAGTCCTTACAGAGGTTAAAACAAAAATCCAAGTTATTGCATCACAAAAAGAGTCTTAGATGCAGTTACATTGTATGTTAACTTTTGATTACCATTAGTACCCCAAAAATTCAAGGTGTAACCAGCCTTCACATATTTAGTTATATTTGAAGTCTAGGTTAAAAGACCGGGCTCTCACATCGTTTTTTGGGACTGGGGCCGGGGCCATAAAAATTTGGAAAATTAGCAACCTTTTTTTAGGAATTTGGAAAAAATCATGAATTAATAGACATTATACATTAAAATCATTTCATATTGGGGTTCTGTACTAAATTTCTGTTTTGCAATAGAAAAGAATATGAATAATAACAATTTTAGTAATTACATATCTTGCTAAATGTTCTTTAATTTTTGGGGAAGTGACAAGTGAGAAAATTAACACATTCAATTTGGAAAAGGGTACCTTTTTTGAATTGGGAATGGCCTGTGATTGGTCCCAATTATGGAGAATGCAGAGCCCTGAAAGAATATAATTCTTTTCAAATTTTTTTTCTATATTAGATTAGCTTTCACTCAGCTTCTAAAGTATTTTTTGTCTTAATGAGGATTAGGTTTTGATTGTAAATTAGAAATAAATGATCAGTGATGTGTAAACACATTGTGTATATTTTATCTGGAGGATATTACAAATTAAAACAGCTTCTTTGCACCAGGATGCAATGATTCATCATTAGAAGTTATGTATTGGCTGTGTATTGAGATTTAAAATGAATCATTTTATTAACAAAGTTTCTCTTTCCTTTGGAAACAGAGTCGAATCCATAAAAACAAAAGCTACTTCAGTCTGAACAAAACACGTAAGTAACCGAGAACATTCAACACATTGTTTATGATGCTACCTTTAGCAGAGACGACACACAGGGTTGGGACCTGATTGATGGGAGAGTCCTAAATTAATTAATCAAGTTCTACGTATTGTATGATTTATGTATTTTGGATATAAATACTATTAGAGCTGTACAACAATAGGATGAACACTTTATTATGTAAATAATGCCGGATATTTGTTACTGAAAACGTGTATATCCGCAGGTGATTTTTCAAATTTCCGTGTTAAAAAAAGTGATTTATCAAAACAAGGTTTTTTTTATACAGAAGGTGTAGCCGTTTTGGACTGGTAGCAAAGTACAAAGAGTCTCTTTTAATCATAGAAGTTTAATGAGATTTTATTGTTTGAAATTTATGAGGTGTTTTTTTTTTTTTTTTTAATTTTCATGATGAAAAGACTGCCTTTGATGAAAGCTAAGCACCATGTGATGTGAAGTTTTATATATGATAAAGAGTCAAGTGATGTTTAAAGTGCAATATCAGTTTTTACGGCTCCATGGTAGATGATTTGGATTGTTTAATATGCCTTGTTATTCATTATAACACACAGGGCTCTTCTGTTTAATTTTTGCATATTTTTTAAATTGTTATATTTAAATTATCAGATGGGTGGTTTGTACCAATATGACTCTATATTTGTACATTACAATGCATATACAACAAAAGTACCATTGTGATCAAATTTGATTAAAAAAAACATGTCTTAATTTATTAAGTAAAATTAACTGCAGATCAATTCTAATTTTGGAAAAAGAATATTTAGAGACCCATCTGTTGGACCTGTTTCATGTTATCGGTTCCTGAGATATCTGCTTCTAAATATAGAGTGAAAAAAGCATAATCAATTTGTAATGCGATATCCCATTATATAGGAAGAATATTTAAGATATAATTTTGTTCCTGTATTTTTTTTGGCCCCTTATATTACGATTGCAGCTGCCTTGAGTTTAGATTATCACCACCTAATGGTGATTAGATAATAGTTTTAATTGTTCAGTGTTTTGTCAATATTCTAGTTTCTATCCAATGAATTTTATTCTCATAGAATAATAGTAATTTTGTGTATTTTTAAAAATGCATTTGATTTTTTTAAAAAAAATCAAAGAATTTTAAGAAAGCTGTCATTAATTAAGATAAAATTCCTCATTATGTTGTTTCATAATTGTCATCATTTACTTGACTGCAATTAGCCAAAGTTAAAGCCCTTTTGAAGTTCTGTAGAATTAAAAAAAATTGAAAAAAATTAAAATCATTGGAGTTCAAGTTCTGCTAATGTTGATTAAAAGCAGCTGCAGATATTCCCAGATATTCCCAAGCTGCTGTAATTCAATGATATGATTACATTTTAAAAATAAGAAACTAGTGGTTAACTTCATGTTTCTTAGTTTACTGTAATTGTTCCACAAAATTGCAGTTTGATTTTATCAATTAAAAAACACATGGAACTTTGTTTACCCATTCATAAAAACTGTCTCATTTTAAAGCAAGATAACATGAAAAGTATGTGAAGCATGGTTAGGTGAGGTTGATTTGGTGCAACTTTTTATCAAGTCTAAGACAAACAAAGCCGAACCGCAGGGCTTTAACAGTACAAAACCGAGGGACTGGTCGTCCTGATAGTGCTCGCAGAAAAAGGGATTATTTAAAGGTATATCCCAATATATAGTATTAAATAACCTGTAACGGGTGACCAAGTTCACATAAAACATCGGAAGTATAAATTATCAAAAAAATTAAAATAAACACAAGATTATTTATCATGATATACCATTCCAAAGCATCCAAGAAGGTGTTAAAGTACTTTACAAGGATGACCAACTTTTTCAGGGAACCAGTCAAAAGGTAAACGAGAGCAGCTGTTTCTTTATATCTAAATACATGCCAAGAGAATTAAGTCAGCAATTGTAACAGATCACGATAGTAAATCTCAGATCCCAGAACTAGGAGTGTTTTGGCTATAAATCTGTGCCCTCTGTAGTAGACACTTTTTTGGGGGTGTCCATTATGATTTCAAGGTTTCTTACACAAGACCTTCTTGATAATATTTCCTGACTAGGTATGAAAAAGCAGTTTTTTAAACTCACAGACAGTATACAACACTTAAGAAGTGCATTAGAATGGATGTCATGTACGTTCCTTGATTATCTGTGGTAGTTAGATTTTAATGATGTGAGGTCCAATCCATAAATCTTTTAATGAAATCTGGTAGGTTAATCCATGTATCAATTCAAGTAAGATTCGATTAACAT